TCACTGAATGACACTTTTGACGATCTCCGGTTAGAGCTTTTTCAGGGGAGTGCTCATGGGTGGAGGCGACGAGCAGCACCTGGGGGGGAACAGGACTTGGAGCGACGTGATGTGAGTTGATATACTGTTTAATTGAACTCAATTGCTCTGTTGTGTGAATACCTTGCGGACGACTGAAGCGTGGCTTGATCGATTGGGGCATACTATAAGGCGGAACGATACCACAAAATACAAGTGCAACGTCTTAAAGTTGCGGTCTCGTGCCTGTAGCTTTGACGAACTGTCAGATTATGCATGAACGAAGTGTAGTCGCATGCACCACTTAAAGATGCATAGGCCCGACCGCGTGTGTTTGAGCTTTGGTGAAACAGGTGTTCGCACACTTGAAAGATTTGGAAAAGGCGAAATGGTATAAAAGTCAAAAACAAATAAACTTCAAGAGTTTTTGCCAGTCCAGGAGAAGGAAAACACGATGAAAGGCGATAGAAAGAGGCAGAGCCTACTCGGCGTTGTCTTCTCGATCTTCGTTTTTCGCATATGTGTATATGCCTTGCACGCTTTTCTAGTGGTTCTAGTGTCCATTCATACAGAATATCGTGTTCTCTTTTCGGTTATTCGCCTCTTCTCTGTGTGTTTTCATTGTGTTCAAACTTTTATTTAAATCCTGCTGAATTACCTGCTGATATTTCTGCAGTTTTCGTATTATGCTCATAATTAAAAAAAAAAAAGATTTATTACAATAATCAGTTGCAAATATTTCGTAACAAAATTAGATTACCAATTACTACCTCGAAAACGTAACGTGACAATTACGAAATTATTTGAAAATATAACGGATCTCTTGCCAAGCTTGGGAATCCTTCTATTAATACTGTTATTTCTGTTGCATGTATTTCTGTAAGCGTTCAGTGTGAATGGTTCTATGGTTTATTTCATGCACCAGCTATCTAGCAACAACTCAGCTCCTAAGAGATTGCTGGAGCTTCTGGTATGCATGAATGATTTCACCAAGGTAATTCTCTACATGTAGTGAAGTTCAAATGACCACCGTAGTAAATATATTTTTATGTTTCGACATCATATGAAATAATTATTTATTGAAAGTGGCCACTATAAGGCTGCATTTAAATTTTTGATTCGACTGCCATCTCATTAGATGTGGATATAATCAATCACGAGTAGTGTCATTACTTGTTCATTACTTCTACTTGATTACTTTTATAAAGTTGTAGTTTGTAAGTAATGTTAACTATTCCATATTCTATTTTTTTCGTCTACCCATCATAGGGAGATAGCTAGCAGGAATGTGCAGGGCTGCACTGAACTTATGATGTATACAGCCGATACCAATGATTCATGCCAGAAGTCAGCATCAGTGCGAGGTGTAGATCTTCCAAACTGGAAAATATGTACAGATATCAGGAAGTTTTACAATGGCGTATGCAAGCACTTTGTATACGAAAGGAGGTAACTTCATCGTCACTGCGATACGCTTAATCCAAACAGAGTAAAGTTTTGTGGATGTACGGTATTTTTCAGAAATGTCTTGCACACCCAAACCACCGAATGCCAGCTGCTGTGACACCATATTCGCCGTGAGAAGTTCGATAGAGGCTGTTCTGTTTTCCTCCCTACAGCCTCCCTATGGGCAGTGCACGTGCTACCCACAGTCATGTTTTAACTCTTTTATTGCGTAGATAGAAGCTTCGCATTGCACGTGCTAGTACCAGCAGACGAAGTTGAAGTATCCTCACGCTGGGTTGTGAAAGACTTCCTCCAGGCGGCCAAACCCAAACTTCTCGCTTAAAGCCCCACTATCCTGGGAAAAGTGGCGCCATTTGTTGTTGTGGAAATACTGGACCCCAATATGATCAGTAACTCGAAAAATGTCCGAGCTATCAAAATTGAACTTGAGGTTGGGTATCGATAGCGCCACAACTAAACGAGCAGCAAAAAAGAAAAAAAGTGCTACCGGCCTGCTGAAGAGTGCGCCACTCCGACGAATGCAGCTGAAAAGACTGGCGCCGCTCAGGCACGCACCCCACAACGGAGGACGACGGAGCTGTCTGAACAGCGCTGTCTCTCGTTTCGAAGGCTCGCTTCCATTTCTGACAAACACCCTGAGATGGCGCGGCATAACAGGAGATCAAGCAATAGTTGTTATTAGGGCACTTGCTTTTAAGGTTGCGCAGCGGGCGACCGTGACTGCGCGCATAGCCCTTACCCAACAGTGCCCTTACCGGGTGTTGCAAGCAGCCCTAATTGAATTCGGACCATTTTCTGGTTTTGTTGAGACACCTCTCTTTTTCCGCCATGCTCCCCACTCAGCCATGACCTCACATAGCGAAGTCGCGCCGAGGCAACGAGCTTACAAAGAACGATGTATCTTCAAGTCATATCAGAGTTTGACACGGAAGTCATATCGAAGTTGAGCACCAAAAGTAGCTTACCTTCTGTAATAGATACGGTCAACTACATTATTTTATTAACGGCGTTAAACCAATAAAAAACAAATTAGTTAATCAAATAACAACAGACTTACTTAAACACATTAATGCACACTGGAAATCCTTAAATTTGGTGTCTTGATTTAGAATATAAAAACGAAGGGACACTTGTCTCGCTGGAAAACCATAACACCTAGCCTTTTACAGCAGAATCCATTTCACGCCTAAATAACGATGTAACATTTTTCATACAAGGTATTAGCGCCATTTGCTGCCGTCATGACAGGGGCAGAGTAATGATAACGGTGCTACGTTTACCTCGTGTTCGGGTCGGTGCGTGACGACTCTTGGTTTCCTAGCGAACAATAACGCGGGTGCTACGCTCTAGAAATGCCTCAGTGTCGTACTTTTAAGTTGACGATGCACACAGGCACGAAAAAAATGTCACAAGTGAAGTTCTTTCAAATATTTTGAGACCAAGAACGCCAGTGACGCCGCCGAGCATGGGCGATCGCAGGACGACCGCATTTGTAGACCGTGCTACCCTAATTCGATGTGCTGCCGACAGAGGGCACAACGCGAGAAACGCGAGGAGGCGGCGCCAGCGTCGCTTCGACGGACTATCTCCATACAACGATAGGTATAATACATGCCAACCGGGCAATCACGGCACGTATAAATGCCAGGTGAAAAATTGGTTAGGGGGAAAAAAACGTTAAATAATAAAGCAAGCGAGTCAATATATACGAAAATTGTGCATTAAAGACTCGCGTGGCGCTGAAGAAAGTGTAATAGAAACAAACCTTCGTAAGATCGTCGGCTAAAATCAAAACCCGGCTCGGCGAGGTCTGCGGGGAAGCTCGGCGCGTGAGCACCATCGGTGACTGTGGAGGAAGCTGCCCATCGCCTATGGCTTGCGGTTCACGAAGTGGTTGAACGAGTTTAAGGATTTGTAGGCTTGAAGCCGTTCCGAAATATGCACCATCAGGCTGTTTACAAACAAGCGCCCGCTTGCCCACACCAGGCGGGGGCACTGCTCGCGCGCAGACACAAGATTTCTCCCACATAAAGCATCTGCGCACACGTAGTGCCCACATCAACGCCCCCGGGTTTGCGTGACGTCAGAAAGTTTAGTTTATCAATAGGGACCAGGCTGGTCTATACTTATACGTGAAGATCCGCCTACAATACCTTTGGCAGATTTGTAATTTTGTCTAGCCCATTTTTTTTTACCCAAACGATCAGGCATGGCGATCCCGCATGAGTAAACTTCAGAAGCTACTGCAGTTGGTCCTTGGCGGTGAGACTTCTGAAGTAGGTGCTACTCACAGCGGGTTCTCAGAAACAAGCAAAAACAATACGCAACCGGAAGCAGCATTCTTACCCCAGAAGTTCGGCCATTTTTTATGTTTGGTTACCTTTGAACAACCTGTGTAGAAATAAATATTAACAAAGTATCTCAAAATGAGTTAATGTACAAGGAAATGCGCATATATATAGCATCAGTGGATATAAAAAATTTAGCAAAAATTACATAGATTTTCTTTTAAAGTCTACTCTCTTATATCTGCCCTGATCAAGTTAAATGAACATTGGTGTTGACTGAGGACGAAAATTGAGAAAACACTTATAAGTAACCGGTTTGTTGCATTTTAGTCCTTAGGTGATATATGGTGTTGTTGAACGTAGGAAGTTCACTTCAATTTTATATTCAAATGCACTTCAGGACTACCTGTCCTTTCGGACGTAACGTTCTTTTGTATACACAGTATTTTATTGTATTCTACAATGTATTGTATTCTGTGTCTGTAGATAGCCATCTGCACACACACAATCTTTATAGGTTGATCTCAAAGCGTACAAAACATCCAATTTATATGCAAAAACTAAATCAACATAATGCGTTTATTGACAATGTCGGGTTCAATCCATTCACCATGACTTCTACATATATCTAGCAAGTTTTGGTTTCGCGTTGAGTTAAGATAATTATGAAATGGGAGCCCCTTTATTAAATGTTATACTGTACATTTGGATATCTAAAGGTTTATAGAGTTTTTAATAAGAAAATCAAACATTTGTTGTTGCTTTTTGCCACGCATTTTTTTCCGTACCTTTGCATCTCTAAATGTTCTAAGATACAGAATATTCGTTTCAAGCAGAAGTTGCTTGCCGCAAACATATGCAGATTTCAACTTTATACATGTAGTTAGGCGAGGGAAGATAATTATATTATATTACTCGAAAACTGAGGAGGCGTGCGCATCGCTATTGTGTTTTTTCTAAGGTCAATATGTCTTCGTAGTTGCGAAATGTTTCATTTTATATGAAAATGGCAGGCATCGGAGGCAACTTCTACAGATTCTGAGGTGTGTACGTAAATGTTATACTTGTAAATCCCTTGTCCGCCTGCATTACCAGCAGTTTGAGGAATAAAGGTCGTACATATCACGTTTTCTGTCTATATGATTAACAGTGCCAAACACAAGCTTGTATAGAAGCGTCATATTTTTGTAACCTATAAAAGTAATGATCAACAGCATGACATCTTCATGTTCCACCAGAACGTTCACTAGCCATCATGAAGGTTCAAGCACTCGCGACTTTTGCTGTCGTAGCAGGTAATGTTTCTGAATTAGTACCTAAGAGTGGTAAATAGCAGACTAAGTAATACGCATATAGTGGTCTACATTTTTTTTTAGATTACAATCATTTTTTGCAGAAGATTATAGCCCTAGGCAACGTAGGCTAAATCGACGGAGTGTCAAAGGAAAGAAAGAAGGACTGTGCCCAGAGAACAGAAGTTAACTTACGCTAAAATGAGCTCGCGAACGGGAGCGCGGTGCTACACTACAAAAAGGATAACGTTTGTTGGTTCAATTTCCTGCAGAATGCCGAGGCCGCCAATCAATGTTCCTATCATATCGCTTTTTTTCCAGTTTTCATCGTATACTGAGATTCCTGATTCGCTAAAACCCTTTTATTTTTGACAGTGAGTGGCTTTCTCTGTGTTTTGCAGGAATATGAATACACACTCGTTTATTAGATTATACTTAGACTCGGAATCTTCGCTTTCTGTGGTCTCAGATGCACTAGGCACCCCGCACTTCCGTGTTCTTGGTTACCGTCCATTAGAGCTTAGCCGCTTGAAGCTGGCCTGATTATATCGGGACGCGTTAAAGAGTTATTTGCATGATGAGTTTCAGTCACATGTCAGCGGCGCTGATGCGTCATGTGGTATGCCCGTTCTCACGCTAGTTAGGCTTATCCTTTCTAGGCGGCACCACACAGTTTATTTCCGTCTTCTCTTGATTGATCAGGCTTACTTTCTTCAAGGTTTTACATCAATCCGATAAAAAAAATATTTTAGCTTCGCCATCAAAGATGGCTTTAGTTTACCTGTATTCGCTATTGAAAACCCCTGACTTTTAAGATATGATCACATGCCTTCACTCCCAGGCGTTAAAAGTTCCAAACTATGTTTAGATTGATCAATATAAGCTTCTGTTTCAGTCATTTCCTTAATGGGGTATTTTAATCTCAAACCATACAACTTACTAAAGCACTTGTAACTTTTTACATTTTCTGTAGTCTTCCTACCGATAGCAAACTGCGCTTTAGAAGAAAATGCTACGCTGGAAGACCGAACGTGTGCTAAGAGGGATGCGGACGCCAAAAAAGTTGTGAGTACACTTAAAAATTTAAATTACTATTAACGACCTTTACCTCCGAGGGCAGGGTATTGCCGGCATGTAAAGGGGGACACGAAAACTAATAAGGTGCGATACAAGACGTGCAAAAAGAGGGGGAAAGAAAACAATCCACATTTTGCGCGCACGCGTTCGTCAGCCCATGGGAAAAGTAATGGAACCCAAGGAGAAGGACACGACGGCAAGCCCTCGCATCATTCTTCTTGGCTTTCCTTAGTTTTCCCATAGCCAGACGAAGGGCCTACACTCAAAGCGTAGCTATTTTCCTTTCCCCTTCGTGTCCTCGTCTGATCTCTCATGTTTAGTTTTAATGCGATAGCGTTCTTTAGCTACCCTTCCTCCCCCCCCATTTCGTGTAGCTTCTAACCTCCTTCAATTCAGATTCACCGCTAAATTTGGCGAAAAAATGACGCCACGTGACCTATGCAAGAATTAAGTTTCCCCGCCATATTTGGCGAGAAATTAAGTGTCACGTGACTTGACATCTCGGCATCTACAGACAAATTCAGGTTCCTCGTTAAATTTAGTGGGAAATCTACGTCACATGACTCATGCACCAATTTAGGTTCCCAGCTAAATTGTGTGCACAAATTGACGTCACGACCTATGCTCCAGTTTAATTTCCACGCTATATTTTTTTTTAAACTGTTATGTCACGTGGCCTGATGCCACCTCTAAATTTGGAGGGATAATTGAATGCCTAAAAAAATGTGTTTACTCAAAATGTTGGTCGTCATATTCACAGTGATCTGGGTCGTGAGTCTTATGACGAATGCTATCGCAATTCATAGACAACAAACACTTGTGATTTCTGTAGAATTTTGTAGATCAGAAGGCTTATACGTGGAATGCAGTATCCATACTCAGTCTCAATAGTTGCATCCCGAACTGACTTTTCAGCAGCCCCCCCCCCCTCCCACCCCCCTCTTCGTCTTTTTTTCCGCTTTAGAAGTTGGACACGTCTCTCAAAAATTCGTACAAAAGCGCCTCTTTCCGTTCCTCCAGTTGCTTCGTCAGCTCTGCCCCTAAACTCGAGAGATAGATTATAAGAAGGAAACCTTACATTCCTATTGTTGCCATCTCCACTACTTTAATCCTTCATCTATTACTATACCCTTAAAGGTAGTAATTGAGCTAAAATAATCTGATCAGGTCGTTATTCATAATACACGCTACAGCCCAAAGGACAAGGACAAGAAAAGAACGGTAGACAGGACAAGCGTGTATTATGTACTAATTGAGGAGAGCTCATAAGGTGAGTGGGATACAGCACATTAACAGTAATAATAAAAAAATCGAAAGACTATAAACAACAAAAAATAATTAAAATCAACAATACACACTTACCCACAATGAAATAATGGAGAATACAGCACAACTACGGAATTCAACAGTGTTCATTTCACGCACAAGTTATCGAAAACAGAACCCCAAACAGTTAACACTCTACTAAATATAAAATTGAACAAGGTTGGAATACATTCAGAACCACGGCTGATGCTATGCTTGCGGGTACAATATTCTATCTTGAAATTTAAAGTGGAAAGAAGGGTTTATCAAATTCGTTTCCTAGATCCAGGAATGCGTTGTGGATTCGGGGTTTGTTAATCTACGAGAAGATCCGAAAGCGGGATACAAGAACATTGTTCTAACATCGAGATGAAGTTGGTAAATCCTATGAAATAGGCAGAGACGTGAAATTTTTCAGCGCATAGTGCATGGTTCTAAGCCCAGTGGTGACATTCTTGTCGTGACGCTCTCGGCGCGTCCGTAGCTGGACAGGATATAGCTTACGGCACGGTTTTTGAATGCCTTTCATTTGGATGATGAGGTAAGCCTAGTGGGGACTCAAGATGGCAGCGGCATACGCTGCCATCTTGACTTGTTATTTGGCGAAGATCCGCAGGGACAGAGTGTAGGCACGCCTGGTAAGGTTTCTTTATGCGGTGAGTGAAATGGATTTGATGTAAGTGGTCTAGGATGCGAATGTAAGGCTATTTAACTGATTAACACATGGCCCATTTAGATTCTAACTGCATACGCGAAGTCAACGTCTCTGCTGGTCGCCGATCCCGACCAGATTCATCTGTAGGCGTTGCCTTCCCCGTTATTGCCGTATCTTCCTTTCCTGTTGCCCCTCGCACCTGATTCCTCCGCTGGGGGTCTGAACATCGGAATGACTTCTTGGTCGAGAGGAACGCGGCCGCCGCAATGGCTGTCGGCGACACTGGAACAGTTTCAATTAGTTTAGAAGACATTAAACTCAAGTTTCAGTACTTTCAGTAGAGGAGAGTTGACATCAATTTCTACAGTAACATTAGCAGGGAAGCAATGTGTTCTATATGCCACATGACGTCATTTTTTTTAAATAAATATAGTGTTGTAACTCAATTGACGTACAGGTTATCGAAACTCAATTTTCTTCCTAAATTCATCGTGAAAATTGTTTTGCAGTATAGGTCCCATGACGCCAGATGACATGACGTCAATTTCCCCACTAAATTTAATGTTAAAATGCACAAGCAGAATGACGGACGGACAGAAAAAAAAAAGAAAAAAAAAAGAAAAACACTGGTATAGAGGGGTGCGATAGAAAGCACTGCATGCTCTAAAACTTCCGAAGTCCTTTTTGCGCTAACAATGTTGCGACATATACGCTCGCATGTACAAACGCTTTCTGCGTATTGGGTATATGTTAGTTATTTTGCTTTCCTCCAGACGGGAACCGTGGAAAGTTGCAGTTATCATTGCCAACCTGGCGAGGGATACAGCAACTATATAGAACACTACTATCCAGATGGTACGTCATGCCAGGTGAGTTTTAATATATTTTATTGGACTGCTCTGAACACGGAGAGATTAAGTCTATGAGCACGTTAGTTGCAATAAAATAACATGAAAACCACTCTAATATGTTCATTATAAAATGAGAAACTATTGTTCACAAATCTGCAATTCCTTTTTGGCTGAAGGGGCACTGAAATAAAAAACAAAATAATAAAGATTTTTATAAAGCCAACCTGGGAAACGTATTTTTTGCACGAAAAAAAAAATTGCGGAAAATTACTTCTTTAGATTGAATTCAGGTGGAGGTCACGGCCCACTCTAAACCACGCCCGCAGATCACTGGCGACCCCATTACTACTGGATTGGCTTGGTTGCTCGGGCGAGCATGCTCGCAAGCCTAGAGAGTAGGGGTGTCACGAACCGGTCGAGGTCGAGTTCGACCAGGTTCGGCTTTTTCGACCTTCTTGTGAAAAGTTCGAGAAATGTTCGACGCCGGTTCTACTGCTCTGCGCTTTGCATAAAAATGTTCGTTCCTTGACATGCTTGTATCAAGGTCTGACCACACTGTCCCCAACGTCAAACCGGTCATATCTGGTTAAAAGTTCGAAGCTTCGTCAATCCGGTTCGAACCAGTCGAACCCCGAAAGTTCGACATAAACATGCGGTTCGACAAAAGTTCGCTACTTCCCTAAACTGTAGCGCCGTGCGGTGCGTCTAGTATGGCGCCTGACACCGCCTGCTGGACGTGCGAACCGACGCGCAGCAGCCTCCGGCATCGTCTGCTATTCCATCACCGTCTATCGTCCCCTACAACGCCCATAAGACGCGGCCATGAAGTAGCGGGTTCGCGTCCTTTATCGCTTGCATCCGTCTGACATTCTGCCCTTTCTAAAAACGTCAGCCACGCTCGCAAGACGCTACCATGGATGCGGCATTGTAACGTTTCATTACGCACGAACCACGGTCCAGTACAAGCGTGCCTCCGCGTCAGTCGGGATCCTGAAAGACGCGACCGAGAGGACAAAAAAGATACCCGTAAAAACATTTTGCAGCCCCTTCAGATATTCTTTTTTTTTTTCATGGCATACGCGAGAAAGGTGGGTGAATGTCATGGCACACAATTAAAATGCGAACTAACATTATTCTCTTGGCAGGCCACGTGAGCGTCAAAACTTGAGCTACTTCACGTGAGCGTCAAAACTTGAGCTACTTCACTTTCGAAGAGGAATGACGGCAACATATCTGGAAAACCTCGGTGCGAGGCAAACGCCCGATTGCCTTAAGCCAAAAGGCTCGCAAAAGTTTACCAGTGCAGGAATGTTATCAGCATAGAAACCATGGTCACAATCACGATGGTTACACAATTTAAAGAGCAGCGGGGCCGCGTTTACGGAAACCAACACCTTTATTCTAAATCAACGCGCGAAAACGAATAAATCAAGCTAGATCAACCAAAACGCTTGACGTGGGGCGCTGGGTTTAGGTCATTCTCGCTACGAAAACAAGCATCCGCACAGTGCTTCCGAAAGCCTCGTAAATGCGACATTTGGTTTGCTTTAAACTAGGTTGGTTGAGAAGATTTTCTTCCAAACACATCGGTGAACGCAAAACGACTCGCACCCATAGAAACAAACGCCGGAAGTCCTAAACGTCATAAACCCCATAAATTGGGAAAAAGCAGCTATACTTACAATTATAGGAACATTCTTACCATTGAGAGGAGATAGAATAATCCTCTTATCTGTACGAATGTTCCTAAAATTGTATGTTCAGCTAATTATTCTCAACCTGGGATCCCAGGATAACGTGAATAGTCTTGTAAATATCATGGTTCAAAGTTTCGTTTTGGCTGTCCACGACGAAATCAAAGCTAGCTGGAGAGGGATGGCGGTACGTGAAGAAGTACGTCAGAACTGACATGACGATGCCACGTCGGTTCGGCGGTACGGGGTTCGACCGGCAGCTGACCTCGCAAAGCTATCAATTTCAAGAAGATAAGTAAGAGAATCTGCTTCCCTTTCAGACACTGGCGTGTGTATGTAGAAAAGATCAGTGGGGTACTCCTAAAACTAGCGGCTATAATGCGAATTTCACGCTCTGCGCACTCGAAAAAAGAGTGCGTTCGGTGCTTGCCACAGGCCGCCGCCGGAAAGCGTGCAGTTGCCTGCATCGCTATATTTTCCTTTTTCTCTGTCGCGAAAATGAAGGTCAAGAGTATACATAAGTGAAGGAAGTTAATTCTGTAGCAGCATACGGCTAACCGGCGTGAGTTTCACACGCTGCGCTGCTGTTTGTAGGTGGGCTCTCCCTGATTTCTGTACCACGCACAAGAGTTTGCGCGGTGCAGTGTTGTACACGTTCCTCAAAAAATGGAACGAAACCACGTTCCTCGTTCCTTCCGATTTTTGGAACGCGTTCCCGTTACAAGTTCCATATGTGAAAAAGGAACTCGTTCCCGTTACAGTTAAAGAAATGGAACGTATCGTTACATATACGTAACATTTGTATTTTGCTGATTACCATATTTAATTAGATTAATCAAATTTTTTTTATCAATCTCATCAAACGGGAACATACAAATTTATATGTCGTGATGGAAGGGCACCAAGAGAAGAAAACAAGCGGAATCAAGGTTTGATTTGTTGATATATTCAAGTTTAAAAATCTCAGCTTTTAACCATATTTATGTTTGTGGTGAACGATTCAGACGAGCCAAATGTACTGTTAACCCACATTGCACGAGCGTTTTACAACAACCTCATACGTTTCAAATTCAATCTAACAAAGTCCCTTGTTCGAACTTAACAACAGTTTAACAACAGTTGCTCCTCGATGTTGCTGTCCGCAAGACGAACAAGTGAAGTAGAGGATAGGGCTTTGGAAGGTTAGTATTGAAAAGTACAAGTACGTCTTTGTGAAGGTTGGATTTGTTGTTCAGTTTGAAGGTGGGGGACAAGGGTAGAAGGAATAAAGGTTAATTTTTATGTATCTTTTAAGTGACCAATGTTCGGTATACAAGGGTGCGTTCGATGTCAGGTAGTCTGTGACTTTGTTATAGCTGTAGGTCTCTTTATGGAAGTTCAGAAATGGCTTTAGTCGGCCTTAGATTTCTGGGAGTATGAGGATTAGTGGAAAGGGGGGGGGGGTGGCATAGAAAGGAGCTGAGTTGGAAACGTCCCTCTTTCTGTGTCTTTTCCTGCGACTATAAGTTTTGCTTTTTGTACGTCAGTCTCGGGCACTCAAAAAAGAATCAATGTCCACCAGCCCTCCTGCACACGACTGTTACCAGGCGAGGACCACACAAAATAAACCCTAAGATAAGTAGCCAAAACGTTAACAAGTTAAAAACAATGTGTTCTTAAAGATATAGTTCTTATACTTTCAAAATTTTCCCTCTTAGAAATGAAACCAAAATTTACCCCACTGAACGAAAGAAAGGAACGCCGTTACTCTTTCCGTTCCAGTAAAAATGTAACGAGTTCCCGTTCCAGTTCCACCGATGTGAAATGAAACGGCGGCGTTCCTTCGTTCCTCATAGAAGGAACGCGTTCCAGGAACGCCGTTCCTTGGAACGCCGTTCTGTACAACACTGGCGCGGTGGGGTGGTCAGCTATGTCGCTAGGTTTCTTGCAACACGAACGTAGAGTGGACGCTCTTGCATGTCGCGTGGTGTCGAGCGTTCATTCTACGCACAGGAGACGTTCCTTTCTGGGACCATAACTAACATTTTGCGCTTTGAGGTTGTCGAGCAGTGCAGTATAGCACAACTTGATTGATTCTAGTGCAGAACTGAGTAATTTTTTTTTCCGAAAGTTCTTCGTGCAAAAATATCTACAGGAACAAAACGAAACGCGCTACTGTGTAAACTTTTAAACAAACATAAATGTATACTGATGTCTTTTTTTTCAGTACAACAGTGCACTGACAAGCAAGTGCATGAATAAGTTATGTCATCATCCAGACGATGATATATTCAAGAAGGAGGGGAAAGAGAATCCAGGAAACGAAGAGGGAAAGAAAAATGGCAATAATGAAGACGAGGGAGAGGAAAACAAAGAGGATGAAAATAAAGAGGAGAAGCCGGACGAAAACGAAGAGAAAGGGGAGGAAGGACATGAAAAAGAAAAGAAAGATGAGGAAGATGGTGGAGGCACAGAGGACACTTAAAAGAAACAGAATCACTCAAACATACCCACGAATGCATGCGTGGAGCTCCTTTTTGTTTTCGGTGTTACGCTTCAATAAGAAAACCCATGGCGTGCTCAACATTTTCTTTTATAGTATTTAGTAAGCAATTTATGTTTCAAATACGTTGATTTAAGACAGCGACGTTTGTTTCGATTTGTATAGAATATTAGCGAATAGAGTGAATGCCACTTCCCTTCCTTGGTGCCGTTACACATGACAGGCTCCTATGTTCAGCGTATTTGACACACAGAGTAAGCCCCAGATGCATTATATTTATAAATCTGGAAACACCCATTCGGTATAAAAAGCAAAGCGTTTTAATGCTGCAGAGGGTATTCATTTATTTATTGATTTAAATTACAGGACAATCTATAGCGAGGGTATTAGAGAATATTCAGTTATATGGAAAAATATTTAAACAAGTTCAAAACAACATACGTAAGACAATACACAGAAGGCAAGCAAGTATAAATTTGAACAAAAATATAAATTTAGTCCGTAAGACAAAATAAATTATTATGACTAGGAGACAGCAGTAAGCAAAAGAAATCCGCTTGGTTTACAGTATGTTCTGGCGCGTCTCTTTTTTGTTTTCTTTAATGGTTTTGTTAAAAAAAATAAAGTACAATATTCCCGAGTCGTTTGTTTTCTCAAAATGCAACTATTTCGGCCGTTATCAATATTTAGATAATGCAGGTTTGGCGCCAATCTATGAATGACGTGACAACTGCAAACTATCTTGTTCAAGCGTTTCCAAAGTATATTTTATCTGCACTTGAACGCTTTCAGAAGAGCCAACTCGGCATTCAATTGATTATTTTCGTACTTCCGGCCTGAAACACATGAGCTCAGATGCTACATATCCTCGGTGCTGACACAGTACTAACCGACGCGCAGGCAGTGGTTCTTGGTGCAGAACAGTGCCATTGAAACCCGATTGCTTATGTTTCACACACCAAAAACAGGCAATAGCTATAGAAAATACTACACATATGAGAGAAGCGAACCTGGGTCCCGCCAGTAATGGCGGCGAAGTGGCCTCTTGCGTGGTCGGTAGAGGCGAGGAAGTCCGCGTGGCTTCGATGGCACAGGCGATACTTCTCGGCACCACCGTCATTCACGAGCACACACACGTTCGAAGACATGAAGCGACGCCTCAGTCGGGACGTGCGACCCCTTCCCGCACCGAACGGACTGCCGCTCGCTGTCACCTCAAAACCCGCTTCGCTTGCCCCGTCGTTCAAGTTGTCTCCAAACAACGCGCACACAGCCGTCCCTTCAAAACTCTGCTCAAGCTAGGGAAACGTGTCTCTAATTCTCCGTTCCCAATACTTTCTATCTGTTTTCTCGTACACAAAGGAAGCTCGCAGTGCGCCTGAAGCTCCCGGTCGTCTACCAAAAACGAGAGTACAAAGAACGGGACATGGCCTCGTCCCAACCCAACCTTGGCGCGCGCGCTCCCAGCAATGCCAATTCGACCATCTCTAGCCAACCTTGGCGTGCGCGCTCCCACTAAGACCAGCTTCACCACCACGCTTATGGGTTCAACCAGTTTCACCAGCTTGTCTCCCAGCCTGACCAGCATGTCTCCTAGCTTGACCACATTGGCTCCATAGAAAAGCAGTTTCACCAGTTTAGCCTGTTAGGACCAGACTGGCTCCCAGGTACACCATATTGAATCTAAAACCAGATTCTAGTTAGACCATAGTCGTTTTCACTTAAACCAGACTGACCAGCTCATATTCTAGCTCGCCCAGCTTGGGCCAGCTTGATTGCTAGTTAAACCACTTCGACTACCACACTGACCAGTTTGACCAGCTTAGTTACCAGCATGAGCAATTATATTTTCATTCTGGTTTTTCATTAGGGTGGTTCTCAAAAAGCGTCATCATAATACAAGTAACTCCACACTGGTACTCTACAGAGCCGAGATCAGTTTTATGAAACAAACTGCAAGATCACAGGAAATTGAATGTGCCAAACTCGGCAATTCAATATGTGAAGTTTTCTGACATGCGTTAGATAAATTCCTGCTTGAGCGTGATAAGATACTGTACCATGAGGCAGTTGAGCGTAGTTTAACTCCAAAAGAAATTAAGCACTGCAATATTTTGTACCTAACAAAACAAATCTTTTGGGTTTGTAGACCATTTAATCAGGCTGCATGGCCGAGTCCTTTCCACTCCTCAAATATTGAGTGGATATCTGAATTTGAATTAGGCATCAGTAGGTAGAAGAAAAGTAATTGAAATATCAAAGGTAAAATACCTTTCCTTGCACCACTAAGTCATAACTTATTCATACAAATTAATTAACGAAAATTAAAAATTAACATCCATCAAAAATTATTTTATGTTTTTAATATAAAACAGCTTTGTACATGTAGTTGGTATGTATACGTATTCAACATATTGAGAAGTTTTAACACAAGCACACACTGTCTGACCAAAAAAGAATACGGAAGTCATCTGACAAGGATAACGATTTTATGTCAGGATCCATAAAGTATAACTTCAACATACTACGAGGCACAGGCTTCAGTAGCTTAGAACATTACTGGCTTAATTGGCATGTGCCGTGCAACAGAAAATGACAGAGACACCCGATGAAAAAATGAATATACAATATTATGGTACTTACAAAATTTTTCAAATGTTCACTTTTAATAAAACAAATATTCACCAGGCGCTGATTTCAAGCTGAATAATTTGTGTAAACAAGAATAAATATAAAGACAGATTGTACTGGAATAGCTCTTCTCGACAACGAATTGCCGAGCAAACCGTACTATCATTAAAGAGTCATTAGCGATGCTTTTTTATGCAAGAACAAATACACACGCTCGGAGGTGCATGTTTAAACAAAATTTCACAGGTGAATAAACAGTGCTGCAGATGCTTACTCCCTACTTGAGAAAGTTGTGGTGAATCTTTGAAACGAACTGTGCACACGTTAAAAAATGCTACTTCGTGTGACCCGCGATGATGCGTCCTGGTATCCCAAAATATCGCGCATTTCTCAAGTCCTCCACCAGCGGGCGGAAAGGGTTGAAGCGAAACAAATAAAAATATAAGCCATTTCTTAACTTGGCAACAGAGCGGCAGGCGCCGGAGCGGCGGAAGACGGCTGCGACCGCGGCGGGGTTGCAAAAACCGCGCAACCCGTGTGAAACACTAGCGCCAGCGTCGCGACTACAGTGAAAGCGAGACCTGCTTCTGAGAGTAAGTGAGGTGAGTTCACGAGTTCGACGAGGGGCGTGAGTTTGTCAGTTCGGTGAGGTCCTGAGTTCTGTGAGGGGTGTCAGTTTGGTGAGTTTATGATTTTGCTGAGCTTATGAGTTCGCTGAGTTCATGAGTTCGGTGACGGGCGTGAGTTTGTGAGTTCGATGAGGGGCGGGAGTTCGGTGTGTTCCCGAGTTCGTGAGTGAAATCTTGAAGGTAACTGCGGCCGTTAGGGTGTGGGCGCGTCAGTTTTTAACTTTTTGTTTTTAACTGCCTGTGAGCCATTTCAGCCAAAAATACATTTGTTCGCCGCACGACAACGCAACGCGCGTGCACTGGCGCGCAATTTGAGCAGGAGACGTCCGCCATAAAATTGCAAAGCCCATTGCTGGCTAAATGTTTTCCCTCTTTTAAATCTAGCTTATATACAGACGGTCACAGCGGAAGCTTCCCTGGATCTCGGAAATATCAGACAACGTTTCTAAGCCAGAGGCGTTTTTCCTGGATTTCTGTTCCAATTGGCGGTGCATGATTCTACTACTCTTATCCATAAAACATAGAATGAGAATAAACAAGAAACGAGGAAACACACAACAAAAAAAAGAGGTGTTGCCCCCTTTTTTTTACTCTTCTTTTACATTACGAGATTTGATGGAAAAGTTTCTGGAATCGCCGCTAGCGGGGTTTTTGTTCCAAAATATCTTTATGTCAGCCTGTTGGCAACTCTTTCGTATAAATGACCAAAAATGTTACATTAACATCTCAAAACGTATGGCTTTGACTAGCATTCTATTGGAACAGTCATGAACATTTTCAATAATGAATAAAAACGAAATACGAGCCGTCATCAAATATTTTTATTTAGGGAGAAAAGGTTCGACCGATATCAAATCCAGGTTGAATACTGTTCTTGGGGAATCATCAACTTCATCTTCCACTGTGAGTTTTGGGGTTTCCGAATTCAAGCGCGGTCGTACGGATAAAAGTGATGAACCACGTTGAAGACGTCCAAATACAGCTACCATACCAGAATTTGAGGAAAAAATCCATTACTTGGTTTTAAAAGACCGCCATATATAAGTGCGTAAAACTGAGGAAGCAGTATAATTCTCCTCAGAAGAATTTGTTCATATTTAACACAATATTTTGGGATTCTAGAAGGTTTCTGAAAAATGGGTTCCACACCTGCTCAATCCCGAACAGAAACAAATTCGAGGCCGAACGTCAGCCGTCAGTTTGCTAGTGTTTCAGACAAATCCAACATATTTCAAGATACTATTTGTAACTATGGGCGAGAGCTAAGTCCACCATTACACGCCAGAAACAAAACGTAACTCGAAACAATGCACTGGGACCGGTGAATGGGCTCCGAAGTATGCAAAGACCCTTATGTGGGCAGGCGAGGGGACAGCATCGGTTTCTTGGGACGACAGAGGAATTTTGCTTCTTGATTATTTTGAAAATAAAAAAACTGCTACTAGCCAATACTAAATAAAATAACACTTTGGAACAAGCTGAAACAAGTAATTCAAGAAACATGGCCGGGGATAGCCAAGAACAGGGTGTTGTTTCACCAGGACAAAGCACCCGCCCATTTAAGTGCATTCGCTCAGCCAAAGCTGACATAACTGAGGTTTGAAATCCTTCCGCACCCATCGTATTCAAATGATTTGGCTCCCTCGGACTTCCACTTATTTCTGAAGCTCAAGACCTTCCTGACTGAAAATATTTTTTTTTGTCGAATGAAAATGTGATGAGGATGCGAACAGTTGTTTTGGCAATCTCGAAGGAAGCCACTTCCAGGAGAGAAACTGAAAGCTGAAGAAACGCTGAACGAAGTTGTTCGAGCACCAG